AGGGGAATACAAAATTATATAACAAAAAATTGTGACGGAAATATTAAAAAAAAAAAAAATATACGTTTACGTTCGAGAACCAATTTGTTAATTCTTCAATAAAACGTAAAAGAAAAAAATATTATCCGCGCAACGAAAGGATTTTTTGTTTTCTTCAATGTAGCAGTTGAAAAAGCAAAGCTGTGAACATTTCGCAAGCCCAAAAGAGGAGTAATATATAATAACAAGCCGTTTTTACGTACGTTTATTTATAATAAACCAAACCCATCCTTTACAACCTTTCGAATTAATTAAGGTAAGTGAGAAATATGATTAAAAAAAAACGACAGCCTTAACATGGTACCATATTTCCGTGGGTACCTACGTACATAGTCATCTACATATGTATAATATTTTATACAACACATTAAAATGCGAAACTGTGAGCTACAGTATCTGAGTAAATGTACGCTTAATAGCTGGAAGGCCTGAGCGTACATTATGTGCGTTGTGAAAGAGGCCATATGTAGGCTCATACATAGTTTTGGAGGGGAGAGCACAGTTATTGTACTGTTTGAGTTTATATAAAGAATATATTTTGACCAAACTAGTCAAAAGCTGTGCTTCCCTGTACCATATATATATGTTTTTTTTTCGCGTTTGTAAAGTTAATTGGAGGGAGTACTGAGCGGACAGTAGAGAGATAAGCAAATGCGCCAGCGCGTACGGCAGAGCGTACATGCCGATATGGCCATTCATGATGGTATATATATATATATTTACCTACTATATGTGAACATTTCCTGTGTACCTCTTTCCCCCCTTTTTTAACAGCCAAACACAATGGGTCGCATGTACGGTAAGGGAAAAGGTATTTCCAGCTCTACCATTCCATATAAAAGGAAACAACCAAGTTGGTTGAAGCAGAAGCCATCTGAAATTGAAGATGCGATAATTAAATTGGCCAAGAAAGGACAAACCCCATCCCAAATTGGTGCTACATTAAGAGACAATTATGGAATTCCCCAAGTAAAGGCCGTTACAGGAAATAAAATCCTCAGAATATTAAGAGCCCATGGAGTTGCCACGACCATTCCAGAGGATTTGTACTTTTTAATAAAGAAGGCCGTATCCATGAGAAAGCATCTTGAAAAAAACAAAAAGGATAAGGATTGTAAATTCAGATTAATTTTAACTGAATCGAAAATTCACAGAATTTCCCGATACTACAAAAGAAAAAAGTTGTTGCCATCCAACTGGAAATACCAGTCCAGCACGGCTAGCGCACTCATTGCATAGACACTTGGCCAAACGAGACGTGCGAAGTGTATGTGAGTAAGCGGCAAAATTGGACAAAAATATGCAACACTGTGAAGAAATAAGCTAAAAGGAATGGACGAAAGGAACTGCTTTTAGATAGATATACAAATGTACACGCCCCCGCTTATACATGATAACGCCGTAACTTTTTTCACTACACATTTTTTCCCTCACCATTTTTAACGTGTATTAAAAACTCTAGCAAAACTTTTGTTCAAATTTTTAATAAAAAAAAGAAAATTAACCCTTTTTATTGCGCAACGCATAAGAGGGATTAGTTGGATAAAGTCGAAAAAGGTATAAAGCTAAAAGTGGGTAGTGGTCATCAGGCAGGGTACCTACCTACTGTGTGTGTGTGTACAGGACATTGGAGCATACCTGTGCAGGAATACATGTACACTTAAAGCAAATGCAATATGAACGAAAATGCATATGCAAATGGGGGTTCGAAATGAGCCCATCAAATGTTCACCAAGGGGAATTCGTTACAGATTGCCATAGAAACAATAGCACAGAAATAGGTGGTTAAAAAAAAAAAAAAA